CAAGCGAGTATTAACTACGGCTACTCACAAATCAGGCAACCAACTGGACCTTATTTACACGACACTGCTCCACTGATCATGTGCTCGTTACTCCACTGAACACCTCGGATCACTTCCTCCTCACTCTTAACCTCAACATGGTTCCTGACACAACACATACCCCTACACATGTCACTTTTCGACGTAACCTATGTTCTCTCTCACCCTCCCGGCTATCTGCTATGGTTTCATCTTCACTTCCTCCCCCTGAACAGTTATCTCTTGATGTTAACAGTGCTACTGATACTTTCTGCTCCACTCTTACGTCTTGTTTAGACACTGTCTGCCCCTTTTCTTCCAGGCCAGCCCGTACCACCCCTTTTGCCCCTTGGCTGTCTGATGTTCTCCGTGAACATCGTTCTAAGCACAGGGCTGCTGAAAGGGTGTGGCGAAAATAAAAAAATCCTACTAACCTTAATATGTATCAGTCACTCCTCTCTTCCTTCTCTGCTAATGTCTCCACTGCTAAAAGGACATACTATCATAACAAAATTAACTATTCGTCTAACTCTCGCATTCTCTTTAAAACATTTTCCTCGCTCCTTTGTCATCCTCCTCCCCCTCCTTCATCAACTCTAACAGCTGACGACTGTGCCACGTTCATCATTAATAAAATTAAAACCATCAGTGCACAATTTTCCACACCACAATCTGTCAAGCAAATCTTACCAGCAAACATACACTCGTTGCAATGCTCTCTTGGCAGGTCTTCCAGCCATTTCTATCAAACCTCTACAATTAATCCAAAATGCCGCTGCAAGATTAATCTTTAATGAGCCGAAAAGAATGCACGTCACACCTCTGTTTATCAATTTGCACTGGCTACCAGTAGCTGCTCGCATAAAATTCAAGGCATTAATGTTTGCCTACAAAACCACCACTGGCTCTGCACCCCTTTACCTAAATTCATTACTTCAGACTTATGTGCCCTCTAGAAGCTTGCGTTCTGCAAGCGAATGTCGGTTTATTGTGTCATCCCAAAGAGGCACAAAATCACTTTCACAGACTTATAAATTTAATGTTCCCTCCTGGTGGAATGACCTGCCTAACTCAATCCGAGCAGCTGAGTCCTTAGCCATCTTCAAGAATCGGCTAAAAGCACATCTCTTCCATCTTTTTTTTGACCCTCTAACTCTAGCGCTCTCTATTCTAATTATATTCTTAAAATAAAAAATTAAAAAAAACTTGTCCCTTTTAGACTTGCACTCTTCATTTACTGCTTCTTTTCTTAACAGAACTAAACTTTTCTTAAAAAAAACAGTATCTTTTCTAATCCTTTTGTATTCTATCTGTTTTCTTTTTTATTTATTATACAATTAACAAAAGCAAAAAAAGGCCTCTAACACTAGCTTGCTCTATTCTTTTCTACTCTATCGGTTTTCTTTTTATTTATTATATAATTAAAAGAAAACCTTGCTACGTGTACTGCGTTAAGCTGAGACTTGTTATAGCACTTGCATATCATTGCTGTTTTGTTGATTTTGATTGCTTCCATTGTCCTCATTTGTAAGTCGCTTTGGATAAAAGCTTCTGCTAAATGACTTAATGTAATTTAATTTTGGTGATTATCACATACGTAAACAACATATGCAACGTATGTATGCCGATACACTGTTTATGTTGTTTACGTTTTGATTTGAATGTAAACAACGTATCGGCGTACATATGTTGCATACGTTGTTTACGTATGTGATAATCTCCAAAATGGCGCTATTGGGTGACGTGGAGGAGACGAATTGTTGAATAAAGTCGTTGTTTTTGTTTTCTTTGCATACAAAAAGTATTTTCGAAGCTTCGTAAAATTACGGTTGAACCCCTGATGTCACATGGATTATTTTAACGATGTCCTTACTATGTTTCTGGACCTTGATCGTGTAAGGACCCTTGCTGTCTCTGGGAGGGTCAGAGAGCTCTCAGAATTAATCAAAAATATCTTAATTTGTGTTCCGAAGATGAACGAAAGTCTTACGGTTTAGAACAACATGAGGGTGAGTAATTAATGACAGAATTTTCATTTTTGGGTGAACTACCCCTTTAAGTGGAAAGTTTCGAACCATATTATTCATTTAAAGAACTGTTGGCCAGTTAATTGGTTATTGGCCTTTCCCACCTTAGTTATTAGTATCTGTAAAATCTACTGTCGTTGATTTTTCATTTTAAAAATACTGTTTAAACAAGTATTTCAAAATGCATGAATTTATAATTTGGTTGTTTTGAACTATATTTTTAAAAAGTGAATTAAATAATTGCACATTTGTCTTTTTTAACACTCCTATTAAGATTTACGCATATTAATAGTCAGTTTCTTGAACATACGGATTAAGCAACACTAAGTTTGCAGTGACGGCAGATTTTTTTATTAAACCGTGTTTAATTTGTGTTTCTTGAGCTTTTTTAAATCGCTGTTATTCTTTCAGTGTTGTGGCGTACTCTGTGGTCATGGGAGCTCTGATGGCCAGCGGGAAAGAGGTGCTGGGCCGAATCCCATCCGGAAAGGTAACGACATCAATGATTTAACGAGACACATGACACTTTATAAGTGTCTATTGTAATACTTTACTCTTTCTGGTTTGTCTACCAGCTGTTTGATTTCGAGGCCATGACTACAGCCAGCCCTGATCGCTTCAGCAAGACCGTCAAGAGTTGGATAAACTTAAAGAGGTACAACTTTAATGTATTGAGTCCTTGTTTTGAGTCCTAGGCAAGCATCCCATGAATGCTCATATTGGAAAACCACTAACACTTTCTTCTTTCTCTCTGTAACTAGTTTGCCGAGTTGGTACCAGAACCTTCCATCGGTTTCAGAGACGTTCCAGTTAACGAGGACCATGATTGAAGTTCTTAACACAGACTCGTCTTCGCACTGTCCCAAGAAATCCTGATCTTGAAATACCATCAAGATATTCAAAACACAAAGGGCCGTCTCTACTCAGGGCATCTTTGCTCACAGTCCTCACTTTTACATGGTTTTTACATATCGAATATCAGAACAAATTCTCTTTGATTTTAGCTTTTATATTTCCACAAATATGGAGAAGAGAGTTGACTCTTTATTTAAATTTTAAATTAAATGTAAATTTGGGTTGCACTTTATTATGTCACTAAAGTTCAGCAATTGCAAGCATAATCTGAGTTGGGGGAAAAAACAGCGGAAAATGTAGCGGAATATAATTGAAAATCTTTATTAAGTTATTATTCATCAGTTGCTTTTCATGGACCTTTTTGGTTTTAGAATCAAATCGGTGACTTGTTGCGGAGATGTCCTTTGAAGAGTTTATTAAGCAGTATTCTTCAGCTCCGAGTTCCTTTCTGAATACTTGAACACAGTGGGGAAATATGTTTGCAAATGTTTTTGTTTGTTTGAAAGAGAAGTTGTTAATATTGCCATGTTCACTGTCCACACTGGCTTCTTTATAATTTTTGTTGTGTCTATTTAATGGCTCAACTGAATATTGTGCGCTCAGATTCTGGAGGTGTTCATGAGACCTTAAACACTGGGAACAGTTGCGCCTCAATCTATAGTTGACTTAAAGCAAAAAAAGTCTTATATTTCATTAATCTTATACATCTTTGATTTTATTTGATCTTCTTAAGGGTCCATTTTAAGTAGATTTTCAGTTTTCTTCTTCATGTCATGGTTGGTGCTTTTTGGCAAAGACTTATTTCCTTTATTTTCCTGTGAAAAATAATTAAGAAAAACAGTGGCTATTTTCCATGAGGGAAAATAAAGGTGAGTTCTTTAACGCAGTGGTTCCCAACCCTGGTCCTGGAGGCACCCCAACACTGCACGTTTTGCATGTATCCTTAATCAAACACACCTGATTCAGGTCATCAGCTCATTAGTAGAGACTCCAAGACCTGAAATTGGTGTGTCAGAGATAAGAGACATGCAAAATGAGCAGTGTTGGGGTGCCTCCAGGACCAGGGTTGGGAACCACTGCTTTAACGCACAAAAAACTTGAAAGTGGAAAATCTGTGGAGCAGCCACAGTCAATAAAAGCAGTTGAATGAAACCACTGTTGTTTTATTTTAATCCCCTTTTGATCTCCTTTTTTGTGTACCAAAAATAAAAAATATAGAAATGCATTTATTATTATTTATTTGTTTATTCTATATATTTTCACTTTACTATGTTTACTGAACAGCATAGACAAGCATACACAATCCAGTATGCAGTACTTCAGTGAGCCACTAGATGACGTCCCGGAAGCTGTCACTTACTGGTCAGATGTAACGAGTCAAAGTAACCTTTTTTATTATTTAAATTAGTCACTGTGTATTTTCAATTCAATTTCTATTCAAGTTTCTAACTGTCATTATTCAGAAGTGAATTAATATTGCCCAAACGTGCTGCTGCGGAAAAAGCTGAGGTGATGACACGTGGTGCCTGTTACTTTTCTCAGCGCATTTGAGGCTTAACCAATCACCGTTTAGTTTCCGTAATCGCCAGCTCATCTGGTCTGCTGGTGACAGGTGGTCAGTGCAGTGTGAGTAGCTCACTGTAAGCTCAGCGATCAGCATGGCTACTGAAGTGGGCCAAGACACACTCATAGAGGCTTTGAAAGAACTTGACGGATTTGGTACAAAATCTTTAGAAAATGTAGGAAAGGACGTCGCCAAAGGTATCCTAAACAATCTGAGATTTTACCTCTTGTTGGTGCTCAAATGTATGTGTTATGTATTTATGTATGTAGGGTTCAAAATACGAGTGTATGAAAAATGTTTCTGTTTTGCATTTACTGCTTTTGTTTAGGTGGTTCTTTGCAAGAAATTGTCGATAAGAAAATGCGTCCTTTATTTGGTCTGATGTCAGCTGGTGCCAAGTTCTTTAACAGGTGTGTATATTTATCTTTAAAGGATTAGTTCACCCAAAAATGAAAATTCTGTCATTAATTACTCACCCTCATGTCGGTTCAAACCCGTACGACCTTTGTTTATCCTCGGAACACAAATTAAGATATTTCTGATGGAATCTGAGAGCTGTCTGACCCTGCATAGACAGCAACGCAACTGAAATGTTCCCAGGTCCAGAAACGCAGCAAGGAGATCGGTAAAATAACCATGTGACATCAGTGGTTTAACCATAATTTTACGAAAGCTTTTCTTTTGCGCACAGAAAGTATTCTCGTAGCTTCGTATAATTGCGGATGAACCACTGATGTCACATGGTTATTTTACCGATCTCCTTGCTACGTTTCTGGGCTTGGGAACATTTCAGTTGCGTTGCTGTCTATGCAGGGTCAGACAGCTCTCAGATTCCATCAGAAATATCTTAATTTGTGTTATGAAGATGAACGAAGGTCTTACGGGTTTGGAACGACGTGAGGGTGAGTAATTAATGACAGAATTTTCATTTTTGAGTGAACTAACCCTTTAAACATTGCAATGGTGCGTATTTGAATAATTTTGTTGTACTGCAAAATGATAAACATTCCATGATATGGATATGTTTTCTTTCAGTCTGGGTGTGAAAAACCAAAAGGAAGCATAAAATTTATGGGAACAGTTTTTTCAGTGAGTATGGAACTATTCTTTGGAATAGCTGATTGAAGTTGGTTGTGGCATTCAGTGGTCTAATATTTTGCATAATAAACTGTTTGAATGATGTCGTACCAGGCAAAAATGTAATTTTTTATTTGGTAAGTAGCAATGTAATAAACAGTCACATATGTAAATAATGTATAGTCAGTTGGTAATTATTAAAAAATCCACATTTTTGCCTGTACTTTATCCATAACATACTGAATACCAAATGTGATGTTAGTATATTGATGATAATACTGTTATTTGATTCCCAATTTAACAGAAACACTGATGTTTGAGATAATGTTGAAGGCTTACTACAACTGGAAGTAAGCAATATAATTTTTTTTAATTTTTCATGTGACTGCTATGAAGCCCCTAACAGGACATGAGCATGGTATTTAAAAAAAAAAAAATAGATGAGAGAAAATTATATTACAATTATTTTGCATTCTCTCACAAAATTCTGTTGCATTCCCACAAGAAACTTAGCAATTTTTTAATGGAAATAATATGAGTTGGGACTTGGGAAGAAAAACTGTATTTCAGTGCTTTTGCGAGAGAATGGAAAATTTCTTGGGAGGAACGCAAAACAGTTAAATTATATTTTTTCCTGTTATCTCATATTTTTTCAATCACCATGTCGCCTTAGAGGCTCCACAGATTGCTTGTTTTCAAATATGTTTTTATGTTAGTAGGTAATATATGAAGTGTGTTTGAGTAGTTTAGTGTGCTGAATGGAGGTTTGTTTGATTGACAGGTGGAGTGGGATAGTTTTTTGAGACGTCTGGATGTTCAGATGCAAATGAGCGACACAGTTCTTTCCCTGTGTCCTGCAGCCCAGACGCTCAGCTCAGATACACAGTTTATACACGTCCAGACTAAAGAGTGAGATAAACACATAATACCATTACTATCCATATTCAGTGCAAGCCACAATCCAGAACTGCTGACAGAGTATGTCTGTTGAAACAAAATGAAGGCCTGCAGTTGCAACAGTTTATCACTCTCTACATTATGACTGTGATTACATCAGTGTCTCACTTATCGCGTTATACCGTATATTCAAAGTCTATAAGATGTTTTTACATGTTTAGAGGTTTACAGTTGTTTTGCCGGTTTTGGATAGTAGCTTAAAATCAGTTTCTAGCATGTCGTGCTTTGTGAGAGTGATTGTTTTGTTACCTGGTTGAAATTTAACCATGCATTTTTTTTTGTAATGGACAACCCATAGGTTATAGCTGTAATAAAACGTATCTCTATATACAGTTAATGTTCATTGTTTTGTAAATTGAAATTCCAGTTAAGTTTTTGAACGAGGCAACAAATTGAAATTTAGAAGAAATAATATTACAGGGTATTTAATGCAATATTTCTAGAAATGTTGAAAATAATATAATGTATGTATACTGTATATATAATATAATGTATGTATGTTTATTTGAATTGCACTAAATTCCTCTTCTTGTAATTCCAATTCAAATTCAATGTAATATCCTGTGGATTGTGGCTATTTCAGTTCAAATTCCAGCTCACAAATTGATATGACATGTGTGAACTGCAGCGTACATTGTGGTTGTCTTGTGCTCCTGTAGGAATGTGTCTCTGGGTCAGTACTTGGGGAAGGGAGAGAATCTCCTCCTTGTGTTGCTCCGGTGTTTTGGATGACAGCCATGACGAGACCACCTGACTGAGCTGAAGAACAGCAAGGTAAGACAACCTGCCATTAAAGGAGATGAAAACTAAAGTCAGAGCAGACCTCAGCCATTTCTGATTCTGGACAGTTGCTTGGAAAATATCTTTCGAGAACTTGTTGACTTGGCAAGGCAAAATGTTGTGCTGCTTTTTTTGTAGCAAATGTTCCAAAGTCAGCATCGCTGTGTTCTTTGAATCATCAACACTTTCTGTTTCTGCCTCTTTCTCATACAGAAGCTTCTGGAAGACAGGCTATGAATTTGACATGCTGTTGGATGCAGAGAGAGCGGTGAGGACTATTGACTGTGCAAAAACATAATTAGCCCTGCTTTGCTTAATCCTAAGGTTATGGAAGCTTGTTTCAGCTACTGAATAGTAGTTTACATCTCACAATTCCGACTTTTTCTTTTAGAATTGTATGATATAAACTTGCAATTACATGTTTTTTTCTCAAAACTGCGAGTTTATATCTCACAATTCTAACTTTTTCACATGCAATTGCAAGTTATAGAGTCAGAATTCTGAGATATAAACTTGCAATTTTAAGAAAATAGGCCGTCTTTTTCTTAGAATTGGACTCGCAAAAATTGCAAATTGCGCAAAAATGTCAGAATTGCGAGAAAAGTTTAAAAAGAGTTTAAATGGCAATCCTAACTTTTTCACATGCAATTGCAAGTTATAAAGTCAGAATTCTGAGATATAAACTTGCAATTTTAAGAAAATAGACAGTCTTTTTCTCAGAATTGGACTCGCAAAAATTGCAAATTGCGAAAAAATGTCAGAATTGCGAGAAAAGTTTAAAAAGAGTTTAAATGGCAATCCTAACTTTTTCACATGCAATTGCAAGTTATAAAGTCAGAATTCTGAGATATATAAACTTGCAATTTTAAGAAAATAGACTGTTTTTTTCTCAGAATTG